CATAAAGCGTCAAACTCGTGCAATGTAAAAGAGCCGAGACAGGAAAAGATCTAATCTCGTACGACATTAAAGGTCGGGCGTATTCAAAAAATATCTAATCCCGTGTGACATAAAAGATAGGGTGTATCCGTCTAGCCCTGTATGACGTAAAAGGTCAGGTGTATCTATCCATTGCTGCAGGATGTTAAAATGCTTAGAGGGCTCTATAGTTGCAGGAGCTAAAACTGCTAACTAAAAAAAAAATTTCAAAATATCTTTCTCTTTTTGAAGTGATTCACTATATGTCTTGTGTTTTCAAAACCTTTAATTTCTTTGTTAAAATCATGACCTGTCTACAGCTACGGCATCCATTTCAAAATTCCCCCCTTGTTTTCAAAATTTTTAAAAAGACTTTTAAAAACGAAAGAGGTTGGACACCCTTATATGATGATTACCACATTGCTGCCTCATCTCTCTCTTCAGAATTGACCAGGCAAACCTTGTCCTAAAACTATAGAAGAATTTAGGAAACCCTAAAGGAATAAAAGAAAATGCCAAGTTTAAGAATTTAAAATTGTGAAAACCCATGAAGTTAAGTCGCATGGCCAGAAAATCCAACTCGAGTTTCTAGCTTGTGTAATTCATCGACATTTCACACTGAAAACCCTAGGATGAAAATGCCCTAGGTGGGTGAGAGGGGAGCACAATGTCTTTGAGGGATAATTGGTGTGTTCGCTAGCCACGAAACGTCATGATGGACTTTAAAAATATTTGCATTATCTTTGCCACTCACCTGCCCCTTAAAGGACAGCCAAAGGGTGTCTACTTCTTTGCCACTTACAAAATCATTAAAAATAGCAAAACACCTCGTTTTGACGCAAAATTTGTCATGCAGCATCACAAGAGCTCGTAGATCCCTCAAAACTGGAATCTAGCGATTTTGGGCAGATTTGGTTGGGCAACACTGGTAGTGTGTCGCTTAGACCCGACTGCCCCAAAATTGGCAGTTTCTGCATGGCAACTTCTCCCAAATCATTTTTGGCCAGGTTCAATGAACCTGAACCATTTTGGTCTGGTCGACACTACCAATGTCACCCAAGCCTTAGACTATCAAAACGGCAGTCCAAGCTGGGAAATCTTTTGGTTATTGTATGTTACCCATTCTAGACCATTCTCAACTTACAAAAAGGTCATTTCAGGTCATTTTAGGCTACACTTTTTAGACCTTATTAGTTTGTGTGCTCAGAGAAAACTTTGTGATCGTAAGACCTAAGAAGAAACCTAGACCTAGGAAAATGTCATCCAGAGATCTGGTCAAATTTCATCTAGAGATCGTCCCGATTTGCACTATAAACAACACTAACTAGGCTGAGATTGACCCTTAGCAGGCTGGCTAGGAGTCAAGGCCACACAATTTGCTAAGTGAAAACCTATCCCCATGGTAGTAACCACAATACCACAAAGAGCGAAAAACTAGGAGGTGGGATAAAAGTTAAGGGTTCTGTTATGCTATTCTCTCTCATGGAGTATTTCCTTAATCTGCTCAACAATTTTGTGCACTTGATACCCTTACTCCACAATGTCCTAATTCTTTTGCTTCAAGTGTTTTGAGATAATTAATTAATCTTTTTGGGTAAAAAAACCATATCTATAATGCAAAACGTTTGTATAAGGTTTCAACTTTAAACTACAGAAGTAACGTGCACCTCAAAAATCCAATAGAAAAGAGTATTCCGAAGTTGGAAAAGTATCTAATTGATCACCTCGACCTCAAGATATATGGATATAAAGAACGAAAAAAATTTCAAGTCTTAAAAATAGTGCATATTGTAACAAGTGATCTTGAAAAATGCACTATTTCTGAGACTTCAAATCTTTTATTTTTCATGGTCATACATCTCGATGTCAAGATGATCAATCAAAGGGTTTTTCAACATTGAAATTACCTTTTCCGATGGATTTTTTAGGTGCATCCGTAGTTCTATATTATAAGGTTGCATCCTTAAATAAACTTTTTCCGTAATGAATACTGCATGAGAAGGAGGAGCCAAACAAAAAACAATAGTTAATTACAAAGAGTGCACGTACTATACTCCTTCGAGAGCATATATTGTACTTCTACTCCCTCGGTCATAAGATCTACTAGGGACTTTTCAATATGAAATTTTGAGAATCACGTACGAGTCACTAGAAGAATATTCTCTATAAAAGAAAATTCAATTTTGAGTTTGTTAACCCTTAGATCCCACCCTCCAAAAATTGGACTACCTCTTTACAGTATGGAGCCATCACTTTTTTATGGGCATAAAGACAGCTATTTGCAATTTTTTTCAATAAGTTTAGTCTGAGTTGAAGAGGTTACATCCCCAAAAGTTGGCGCCCTAAAGTAACTCCTAAATTGGATTTTGCCCGAGGGAATAAATGGACACTCCCGCAAGAATAAGGATCTTTTGAAAATTACACGTAATGCAAATTACATTCAACACCCATTATAGTACGACAATCCTCAACTATTTAACAAAGACTCTTAAAATGTGTGGCAGAGGTGTGGTCTCTTTCTTTATCTTACTGCAGAAGTTAGTAAGTATAGGCAGCATGTATGAAGTGAGATATATAGATTTAATTTTCGAAGTCCATCCATTTATAAGTGATATATAAATGGATGATAAACACTAAAAAGAAGGCAGCATGTACAAAGTGAAATATTTATTTGTCCATCCATTTCAAAGGCACAAAGACGAGGGCAAAAGGGTCCCAACAGCCTTGGGCTGGTCCTTACTATAAAGCGTCTATGGTCCTAATTGAGTCACGTCAACAAATATCAGTGAACACGTGGGCCCTTTCACCACAAAGCTCACACGGTGCAATGGAAACCGCAAAAACTACAACGGTGATTAGGGTATGGGTGCCTACACAACAACCGGCCAACGTGATTTCCATTGCGATATTCAATTACTCTTACTCTCTCTCTTTCTCATGTTTCCTTACCCTCTGTTGTTAAAAATACATAGTCCGGTCCCGATAAGTATCAGCGCAACCCACTCTCCCTTAGTTTCTCTCCTACATTCATAGCTAAGATTAACCCCAAGCAAGTTACAGCCTAAAATCTCCCTCTCTCTCTCTCTCTTTTGAAAATTACACGTAATGCAAATTACATTCAACACCCATTATAGTACGAAAATCCTCAATTATTGAACAAAGAATCTTAAAATGTGTGGCAGAGGTGTGGTCTCTTTCTTTATCTTACCGCAGAAGTTAGTAAGTATAGGCAGCATGTATGAAGTGAGATATATAGATTTAATTTTCGAAGTCCATCCATTTATAAGTGAGATATAAATGGGAGAAAAACAATAAAAAGAAGGCAGCATGTACAAAGTGAAATATTTATTTGTCCATCCATTTCAAAGGCACGAAGACGAGGGCAAAAGGGTCCCAGCAGCCTAGGGCTGGTCCTTACTATAAAGCATCTATGGTCCTAATTGAGTCACGTCAACAAATATCAGTAAACACGTGGGCCCTTTCACCACGAAGCTCACACGGTGCAATGGAAACTGCAAAAACTACAACGGTGATTAGGGTATGGGTGCCTACACAACAACTGGCCAACGTGATTTCCATTGCGATATTCAATTACTCTTACTCTCTCTCTTTCTCATGTTTCCTTACCCTCTGTTCTTATAAATACATAGTCCGGTCCCGATAAGTATCAGCGCAACTCACTCTCCCTTAGTTTCTCTCCTACATTCATAGCTAAGATTAACCCCAAGCAAGTTACAGCCTAAAATCTCCTCTCTCTCTCTCTCTTTTGAAAATTACACGTAATGCAAATTACATTCAACACCCATTATAGTACAATAATCCTCGATTATTGAACAAAGAATCTTAAAATGTGTGGTAGCGGTGTGGTCTCTTTCTTTATCTTACTGCAGAAGTTAGTAAGTATAGGCAGCATGTATGAAGTGAGATATATAGATTTAATTTTCGAAGTCCATCCATTTATAAGTGAGATATAAATGGGAGATAAACACTAAAAAGAAGGCAGCATGTACAAAGTGAAATATTTATTTGTCCATCCATTTCAAAGGCACAAAGACGAGGGCAAAAGGGTCCCAGTAGCCTTGGGCTGGTCCTTACTATAAAGCGTCTATGGTCCTAGTTGAGTCACGTCAACAAATATCAGTGAACACGTGGGCCCTTTCACCACGAAGCTCACACGGTGCAATGGAAACCGCAAAAACTACAACGGTGATTAGGGTATGGGTGCCTACACAACAACCGGCCAACGTGATTTCCATTGCGATATTCAATTACTCTTACTCTCTCTCTTTATCATGTTTCCTTACCCTCTGTTGTTATAAATACATAGTCCGGTCCCGATAAGTATCAGCGCAACTCGCTCTCCCTTAGTTTCTCTCCTACATTCATAGCTAAGATTAACCCCAAGCAAGTTACAGCCTAAAATCTCCCTCTCTCTCTCTCACTTTTGAAAATTACACGTAATGCAAATTACATTCAACACCCATTATAGTACGACAATCCTCAATTATTGAACAAAGAATCTTAAAATGTGTGGCAGAGGTGTGGTCTCTTTCTTTATCTTAATGCAAAAGTTAGTAAGTATAGGCAGCATGTATGAAGTGAGATATATAGATTTAATATTCGAAGTCCATCCATTTATAAGTGAGATATAAATGGGAGATAAACACTAAAAAGAAGGCAGCATGTACAAAGTGAAATATTTATTTGTCCATCCATTTCAAAGGCAGAAAGACGAGGGCAAAAGGGTCCCAGCAGCCTTGGGCTGGTCTTTACTATAAAGCGTCTATGGTCCTAATTGAGTCACGTCAACAAATATCAGTGAACACGTGGGCCCTTTCACCACGAAGCTCACACGGTGCAATGGAAACCGCAAAAACTACAACGGTGATTAGGGTATGGGTGCCTACACAACAACCGGCCAACGTGATTTCCATTGCGATATTCAATTACTCTTACTCTCTCTCTCTCATGTTTCCTTACCCTCTGTTGTTATAAATACATAGTCCGGTCCCGATAAGTTTCCGCGCAACTCACTCTCCCTTAGTTTCTTTCCTACATTCATAGCTAAGATTAACCCCAATCAAGTTACAGCCTAAAATCTCCCTCTCTCTCTCTCTCTCTCAAAGTCCCAGCCCCACTTTCTTTATAAACATGGCTGCTCTATCCTTAACCATCTCATCATCACTAGTTGGATGCCAAAAGAGCTTTACCACACGCTCGGGGGGTAAAGCCTCGAATTTTAATAGTTCAATGAATAAACATGGTCCCATATGCTCTATGGAGATATCACACGAGAGCAAGAAAGAATTCTATTGTAATTTTTCTGATCGTCAGCTTCCGTTAGCATTGTCGTCCGTAAATAATCAGATGGTAAGGATAGTTAACTTGGCCGGCAGATCATAAGTTTCAATTTTCAAACTTGTCATGTACATGCTAATGTGGTGTTGAATGTGGCATGTTGGGGCTTTAAGAATGTCTATATTTGTGCGTTTGTATGTTAGAGAGAGGACAATTGGAGGGCAAAGTAGATTGCCATGATTTTTCAGGTCGTTTAAGTTACGGTTAATTTTGCCACTAAAAAAGGGTTTGTATACTGTGTTTTTAATATTGCTTTAGGCATTAGTAACTTATTTTTTGAACTTTTAGTCTAGTTAATGACACACACATCCACTTGATTTTAAATCTCCAGACGGAATGATAGTGATTTTTTTGTATTAAAAGAATGGTCTTTTTGTATATTTTTTTTAAAAATAATTGATACTTTACATTAAAAAGACAAAAAAATAATAAATTTATTCTATTTGCAATTCACTTGTAGATGAATTATAAGCCACTCTTTTAAATGTGTTCTGTTAAATTTCGTTGTAACTCCTCATGATCCCTCACAGGTAGACCTAAAGGCCACAAGTTTTAGAGATTTGAAGAGAAAATTGAAGAAGGTGATAAGTGGCATCAGTGATGAGGTTAAAATTATGGCCCTAATTGACCACATCCAACGGCTTGGCATCGCCTACCACTTTGAGATGGAAATTGAAACGGCCCTTGGTGGCATTTACAGAGGTTTTTCTGCACATGGTTCTAATGACAATCTCTTGGTTGCTTCTCTAAAATTTCGACTCCTTAGACAACATGGATATAATGTGTCATCGAGTGAGTGAAACTTTAATATACATTTTTTGATATTTGCTGCTGATTTATGGTTTAAGTAATTTCTCTAATTAACACCCCCTGTTTATTTTGCAGATGTATTTAACAAATTCAAGGATGGAAATGGGAATTTCAAACCCAGTTTGAGCGAAGATGTTATTGGTATGTTGAACCTCTATGAAGCTTCACACCTTCGAATAGAAGGGGAAGATATCATGGATGAAGCTCTAGGATTCTGTGTCGAGCATCTCAGCACATCAATGCACCGCGTAGAACCTAATATCGCAAAAATAGTGAGGCATGCCCTCAAGCTTCCATTACACTTCCGAACCCCTAGGTTAGAGACCAGGCATTACATTGAGGTTTACAAAGAAGATCCTCAGAGGAACCAAGATTTATTGGAGTTCGCCCAAAGAGACTTCAATATGGTGCAATCCTTGTATAAGGGAGAGCTGAAAGAGGTTTCAAGGTAAGTGTCATCACAAAATTCTTCTCTCTTGCGATATTAAGGGCATTTCCTCAGGAGTGTCTTATCTTTCTTTAGGTGGTGGCGGGAGTTGGATATGGCAAAGGAGCTTGCATTTGCTAGAGATCAAATACACCACTGGTTTATGTGGCCTGTTGCAATCGTCCCTGAGCCTCAGTATTCAGAGTGCAGAGTTGATATGACCAAAGCCATTTCCTTCATCTACCTGATAGACGATATCTACGACGTGTACGGATCCATGGATGAACTAGAACTCTTTACCCAAGCAATTACAAGGTATGGGTAGATTTAATGCAAAAACACAGATGAAAATTTAATGCCCTAACCATCACCGAATTTCTAATCTAGTGACAATAATAATTTTTCAGGTGGGATTTAAGCGAAATCCATGGTTTACCCAAGTACATGAAGGTCTGCTATTTAGCTTTACATGATGTCACACGAGATATTGCTCGAAAGATACACAAGAAACATGGATTCGATATCACAGACTACTTAAGACAAGCGGTAAAAATCATCATCTTCATCTTCTTCTAAAGATAGGGCAGCCCTAGTCTAGCACTGGTCTCGATAAGGCTGGGCCAGGCCAGGTCAAAGAGGCCCAAACCTATGCCATGACCCAGCTCGAGCCCTGTTTGTGCCAGGCTGGACAAAATATGAAAAAAAATAAATAAATAACAAAAATAAAGATAAAAGAGAGTTGAATTGGGCTGAACCAGGCCACCCCTATTGTGGCCCTGGTTGGCCTGGTCCTCAGGCCACATTTTGTTGCCCAAGCCTTAGTTTTTAAGAGTGGGGCGAGAACATCCAGCCCATTAGCATCCCTATCTATAGAATTGTGTGACAAAGTATATAATTTTTCTCCACAGCTAAATTGGAAATTTTGTATTGTTATTGCAGTGGACCTCATTATGCGAAGCCTATTTAGTTGAAGCAAAATGGTTCCGATCTGGGCAAGTGCCAAGAGCAAAGGAGTACTTGAAAAATGCAGTGACGAGTACAGGTGTGCATGTTGCCTTGATTCACATGTATTTCCTGATGGGGCACAAAGTAACAAGGGAGACTGCTCAACTCATAAGCAATGGCCCTCAATTCATTCGCTGCCCAGCAACCATTCTTCGGCTTTGGGATGACTTGTCTACTTCAATGGTATGCACCACATCGACAGCTCGAGACACATACCCAAATTAAATTTAATTTAATTTTAATCTCTCTCTATATATATATATATATTTGAAAAGCAAAATGAGCCAATGAGACTGTCCAGAAACTAGTTTCCGCAGCAGAAATATCCATGATGTCTCTAAAATAAATTTCTGACACCGACAATAAAATTTGAAAATTAAAAAATGGCATAAATCTGGCCGATTTACGAACACTTATTTTTAGGGTGAAATGGACAGACTAGAGAATTTGTTACAATATATATTATTTTAGAACTTGAATCCTAACATTTTTCACAACATAATGTTCAAGCTGAGATGTTTGCTGTAAAGATTTTTCAATACTTGAATTACAAATTTTGATGAGTTATGAGGTGAGGCTTTACTTATTTTAATAGAGCTGCAGCCCTATCAAACCATTTTCAACCTTAAATTATTGAGAGTATATTTGTGGTTCGACAATTATCCCTTATATAACACGAACAACTGGTTATAAAATATGACAGGAGGAAAGAGAGAGAGGGGATGATGCCTCTTACATAGAATCATACATGAAGGAACATGAAGATGAATCAGAAGAGAGTGCTCGAGAACACACTACAAATCTCATTATAACAATGTGGAAGAGACTAATCCATGAGAGTCTCAAACAAAACCCCTTTCCACATTCCTTCACCATCTCAGTGTTGAACATCTCTAGAATGGCCCAAGTGGTTTACCAAACTCAAGAGGATTCGACCGTGAAGGATCACATTAAGTCATTACTCCTGGATCCCATTTCCCTCTCGCTTCAATCTTGTAAACCTAAATGAAAACCTGTGTTTATTTTTTTAATTTTTATTTTATTTTATTTTAGTGGGTGGGAATGGAGGGTGAGACGTTATATTGTGACATCCACCCTCTTAAGCATTATTACCCAACCTCATTTTCTCATAAATTAAAAAGTACTTCGTCATAATTACCATTTGTATTGATGACTACACATATTGGGTTTAAACTCCCTGGCATACATGTTGGGTATCATGAGCCTTTTCCAAAGGCGTGAAATCTTTATGGGTCCATTTTTAGAAGAGTGATATTTTTTAAAGATATATTTCCTCAAAGATGGGTAAATTCTATTTGGATGGTATAAAGTAAGAGATTATCAATAAATCGGCTCATCATGAAATCGAAAACTAATCATTTTTATTTTAAAAGGTCGAATAAACAAATTGGCTAAAAAATATAGATCGGCAAAAAAACTTCATGCAAAAAGATCGCGAATATATCGGACTACGCTCAAAAAATCGGAGTAAAAAGATCGGATATATTTAAAATATTAAAAACTTTGAAACTCTAAATATATATATATCACTCAGTATAGAAAAATTAATAGTAGTAAGGAGTAATGCTTTCACTCTATCGTCAAGAGAAGTATTGGGTATATCTCTATATCATAAGTTGGTTATCTATTCTATTCGTCAAGAGAAGTATTAGGTAGGTGAATTCAATTTTCATCTTTCTAGAAAGAAATATTCTACCCCCATACTTGCAAACTATGGTCTACCCATAACGACCCAAAAAAATACACACCATATCCATAGCAAAAAACCAAAGAAAGTTTCGGGAGAATAGAAATAAAAATAGAAATAGAAATCTCATAAAACAGGAAAAAGATATTGAACTTTCCAAAAAAAAATCAGAGTATATTAATATAAAAGGTTTTTGAAACATTTTTTTCAAATTTTGATAAAGTCGCGTTTTAAACTTCTTCCTGAAAAGATCACGTATTTTTACCAATCTGTTGAAAAAGTCGCAGATTAAATCGTTTTTCAAAAAAACACCTATTTTTTGAAAACATCACGATTAAATCAGCGATTTGCTAACTATAATCTAGATACACTCCCACTGCTTTGTCTCTTATTTTTTTATTTTTGGGTTACTCAGCGGGATAATATTCTCCTGCTCATGATTGAAATAAAACTCAAGACGTCATATTGTGGCATCGACCACCTTGATTACCTATGCCTTGGGCTCATTCATACTTCTTTCGAATAGAGTTAGAAGGCTATTTTTCTGTAAATGCTTTATGATTTTTATTGTAATTTTTACGAAATTTTATGGTTAAACTTTGTATCGCTATTTGATTATCATAGTGCAATTTTTAATCGTTTTCTCCAAAAGGGAAGAAATCCAATAAAAAATAAAAAACAAAATAAAACTAATTAAAAGAAATCCAAGTAAAAACATTCCGGACATTAATAAATATTGAGGACAAAGCTGAATTACTAAGCTTTGTAATGTCCATCAAGCACAATAATACCTTGCCAGTTACGCCCCATGCTAGAACCACCCAAGGAAAAAATTATTGTAAATAGGGTCCACAAGAATCACAAAGATGCTAGTGCTCCTACAAAAGTATAGAAGTTAAATTTCCTTTCTTAACAAAAAAATTAAATCATGAAGAATGATTCTACGTCTGTTAGATACAACAGAATAGGATGCACTAGCGGGTGCACGTGCTTCGCACGTATAGGAATAAATTTATACGAGATAATAAATGGCTTTTGTTTTTGTGCTAAATTTTTTTCTAGTTATTTAGGAATGTTTCTTTTCTTCTTTTTTTTATGTTTCTACATTATTATACAAATACAGCAGATGGTTTATAGTTTGTATGTGTACATGGCCAATCACATGAAGTGCAAGTTTGAGCATAAGTGAAGAAAATCAGATTAATTTTTTAGAGATTTACATGTAGTAGGACAGGGATAAAATAAAATATCATTATAAAATTTATATATCCAATAATATATACATCCGCATGGACGCTTTGAAAATGTTGTGTTGAATTAATCAATTAAAATATTTAAAAAAGCATATGACTCCAAATGAATAACCATGGGAAAAAACATTCGGGGCCAAATTCGCCTATGCATTCCGTATCATATAAACACATGTTTTACATCATATAATGGGAACGAAACAGTTTTAGAAGTTTAATGCTCTATTACAATTTACATTAACCAAAGAAAAGAAAAATAGGCTGAAGACCCTTGTTTCAGGTCTTGAAACGTATACCTACGTTTCCAGGAAAAAAAGTATAAAAATATATAAAAAGAGGAGAAATAATATTAAGGGGCATATTAGTCCACATACCTGAGTTTAAACACAAGGTTACTAATCCTCAAGTCTGATCGTTCTTCGAGAATGGGCTTCAAGTGGATCATGCAAAAATGAACTTCTCTCTCTATGTATTGGTCACACTGATAGAACAATCATTGACAGGAACTGTCTCTTTCATGCTATGTGTTTTACAGTATGTCTCTCTCAATCTCACTCTCATTGAAGTGCACTCTACTGAAAGTGTACAAACCACAAATTTGTGTACACTAAAAATATGCGAATCCCTCTCTAATCGAGAGATAGGTTTATATAGATTTAATCATTAGAAAATCACCAATCTTCAACTGAGAATCACGAAGATGTGATCTTTTAATTTGCATCCTTCATCTTCATGTTCATATTGATCTACATCTTCATGATCTTTATCTTCTTATGCTAAGTGCCTGCATCTTTTCACGTTGAATGCCTTCATCTTTATCATTTCACGCTGATCTTCATTTGATGATGATCTTGCTGTTTAATTTCATGGATTAAGATGAGTTAACATGTTCGTATAGGCATCTCCCAATGATAATCACTCTTTCAAGTCAATACTCATCTTCAAAGGCATTCAAATTTTAAGCATACTAATTCCATATTCAACTGAGATATTGCAAGAGAAAAATCAGGAATTTGTTACTTTATCTTCTATTGCCTGGCAGTTAAGCTTCTGCACCGCGGTTTGATACTTCTTCATATATCTTCAATCACTTTATGATGACGAATTCTTTGATTATAAAAACTAGGAGAGATGAAAGAGGGTTCAGTGACGAACACAATGGTCTAAAACTCATTTAAAATGGATCATATATGAGAGAGATATGGTACGTTCAAGTTACCATGTTTCTGCCGAAAATTGCATCTGCAAAACTAGGGAATTGCCGATGCAACCACTTTCAATGTATGAATCAATCAATGTTGTAGTTTTTAAAGGTGATAAAACATCGAGTCAAGAATCCAATTTCCTAGGTCCCATGAGATAATTCTTTATACCGAGAGAGAAATCCCAATTTTGATGACCAGGTGTCAACCTGGCTGTTACACAAATAACATAAAACTTTTAAGGCTCTAACTGCCGTGGTATGTGGATGATGGCTTAATTCAACTACGATCGATATGAAACTTCAGGGTGAACGTTATAATGCCTCAAACATGGGTCCCTAAGAGTCCAGGCCCAATTCCAAAATATGAAATTACGGGGTGTCAATCAAAGCATATCTTAACCAACAATGGATATCGATATGGGCTAAGCCAGGTCCAAATATTGCCCAAGTTATATCTTTCTTAGACTTTAAGGAATATAAGGCTTCGACATGTATATCTTTAAGGATTTTACCTCAATATATCAACATATGATGAGGTTTCACTTATGCTCTGTCTATTAAAACCCCATATTCTTAACTGATGAAGAATTAAAAAGAGTCATAAGAAATCTAATACAACACTCCTTCAATATATAGTGGAGAGGCATACATAAATATGCAATGGAGAGGTATGCAAATGCCATGGAAGTATCTGTATCTTAGAGTTTCGTCTCAAATTGAAATGTCTTTATGATCTCTTATTGTAGACCATAAGTTATGATGCACATGTGTAATTAAGATTTAATTTACTTAGAGATCAGCTTGTAAAATACAAAATTTACTAATTTGTAAATTAGAACAACTTTACTAATTTCAACTTGTAATTTATGGAATTATCTTAGATTGATCTTATCAACTAATTATATTAGATAATTATTGCGGTCTTATACTTAGACTACGTACCAACTAATTTAGACTATTTAACAAATTATAATTGTTTATAATTATAATTAGATTGATCTTATCAACTTTGAATTTAGACTTACATCGCTATATGTTCCTCATTCATCATGAAGACTATTTCTGATTTGTTATAATTTACATATAGACTATTTATTGATAAGATTATACCCTGTAAATTATTGATAAGACCATTGACTGTAATAATCTATAAGTAAATTATATTAGACTGTAATTACGGTTTATGATCTTATCAATAAATAGTCTATAAGCATGCAACAATTAAATAATTACAACTGATCTACATACAATTGATTTAAGATAAGTCTATAAGTAATTTGTTTTTTCTATGATTAGTAATTGACGATCATAGGTTGTACTTTATATTTTAATATAAAGTACAGCCCATAATAGTTTTGATTTATGAATATAAGCAAATTATGTATAGATCTACTTACCACTGATCTCAAGATCATTGTAAGCAATGAATTATGATCTTTTACATAAGTACAATTCATATAACAATGAATTATGAGATCATAATCCATCATAATTTAAATGAGCATTTTTCATTGCTTATGATCATAAGCAATGAAAACATTCATAGAGCCTGTAATTTACCGTTAGTACAATGATCATAAGCAATTCATTTATGACCACCTAAAAGAAATGATCAGTCAAAAGAAATTTAGTTGCACTTAAGGTAATTATGAGATCATAATTCTGGTTGTCATACGGTAAGAAATTTACCTGTACTGATATTCATACCAAAAATTATGAAATTTACCCAAAATCATAATTATATCGTAATTGAATTTCTTACCGTAAGAAAATCATCAGTTTTACCGTATGAAAATCAGTTACTGTATGAAAATCAATTTACCGAAAATCATAATTATACCGTATGATTGTACGGTAAGAAATTTACCTGTACGATATAATTTACCATATGATTTTCTAAATTATTGAGATCGTTACACTAATATCAATAAAATGATAGTCATAATTGATTCTGCAACTGTCTATCAGTCAGTTGTAGAATCAACTATCAGTT